CTGTAAAATTGCCCTCTGCATCTCTCGATGCTTTATGCAATTTCATTCCGGGTAAATAAAGATCAGGTTTTGAATATGAGTTTTATGTTTCGAGGAATTTTTCCAACCATTAGGTATGGTATAAAATTATTAAAACTAAAAGAAAAATTTTTAATTTAAGTATTTTTCGCTTCTGGGAGTAGTTTCTGCTTGGAAAGGTAGTTTCTCGTAGATACAAAATTCTGATATATTTTTTGGTTATCACTACTCATAGTCTCAGTTCAAAAAAACACAAATTTTGTTCTTAAAACACTTGTAAAAAAGTCGAGCGTTAAAGAGTTAAGGAACGCGGAATCGGAAGGCTCGAGCCCACCGCGGCTGCGAGTGTTGGTTGCCGAGAGCGGAAAAGAAAATATCCGCGACGCCCGCGTGGGCGCGTCGCTTGTTCGTGTAAATCTTTTTCCATTTCCATTTCTTCGTGAACGACGGCGAGAGTGTATTATAATACCTTACGTGGTAGTAGAAGTGTCGCGAGATTTTCCCATATGTTGCGTAGATCTCGGCCAGAAAATTCGAAACTTTGCACTACCTGCGTAAACCTGTCTTCACCAGAGTCTACGGTTCTTTTTAAAGATAGAACTGGACCCGTATTCAATTTCTAGGAATGTTCCGTATCTATGAGACTCGCTGTCGTTTGTGCCTTCGCTTACGTCGTCGCCGATGAAAAATTCGCAATCAGTGCGGCAACCGCGACTACGGCAACGACGTTACGTCAGAAATCACTCCGCTGTCGGAGTCGTTTTCGACGTGATTTCGAAATTCCGGGACGATCCACTTTCGAAGGCCTCGAGATTCGCGCGGAAGCACCTGAAAAGAAGAACCAGGATCGCATAGATTCAAATGAGCAATGATTTCCAAGGGCTTCGAGTGGTGTCCCGAAATGAGTGGTCGTTAGAAACGCACGACAAAGGTGATGCTGTCTCGGTGCCTTTTGTAAAAGTGATTGCCAGGCATGTCGCGCGCACGCGAAAGCCGCGAGAAACTGAAGTTTTTTTTTTTTTTTACGCGCGAATACGACTGTTACGTAAGACGTTTCTTCGCTCTAACGCGCGGCTTTGATACATTCTTGGCTCTATTAGACGCTGCGTTTGTCGCATCAACAGCGCGATCGTCTAATCCGTACTTTTAATCGTCTAATGCGAGAATCATCGTTCCATATCAATAAGGGAAGACAGAATTTGTGAAGCGTTCAACACAAAAGAAAGAAAATCGGCCTCCTGTTTGTATTCTAATTATCTCCAAGCGACCTCAAGCTATTAGTTTCCTAAGCAGCTTATATAATCATTATATATATTATTACAATAGGCATATCAAAATAAAAATATAGCGAAATGTTTAAAAATGTTCTAAAATATTACAAAACATTTTATTTTCCTATTAAGAGTTTAAGAATTGCGATTAAAAAATTGAGGTTGACCTTGATGTAACCTTGGTGGGTAGTTGAGAAATATTTCTCTTTGCGAAGGACGTTCGTCCCTTCACACCCGTAATAAACCTGCCACTTGTCGTCACTTTCTAAGATCATCTTAATTGCTGCAAGATGTGTTTAGGCACTCGTACGTGATCAGACGTGTGCGCAATCATCATTACGAGAGGGCGACGATGAGAATTGCGTGAGGGCGAAAACGCGCCGCACTGGCTAATTAGTCGCGTGCGATCTTTTTTTTTTTTTCTTACAGTCGCCGCTTGTTCACCACGACTAAACTACAACATGTGACAGACACAACGGTCATAACTTCCCGATAACATCTGTATCGTTTGTCATTGGCGAAATATCCGTTTACCTAAAATACGTGATGATAAACATACGTAATTATCCAAAATCTATGTGACCTTCATGCAGAGATCGTTTAAAAAAATTTATTCACCCAGATTCGTTAGAATGTATTATCACAACTATCTGCGCTAATCAGCACAAGGGCAGCTCATGAGTTAATCCCATGGTTTAACCAGGGAAGATAGGAAGTAAGATAACATATTAATAAGCATTTAGTCTGCGCTAATACCATATTTTCTTAAGAAACAGAAGTAATTTAAACAATAAGTATGACATTTTTACAGAAAAAACATTAATTTTGTCTAATTATTAAAAAATTAATCTAATGCTTTTAAGAATATTTTCTATAAATTTAAAATAAATCTCTCGTATTTATCTCGTACAAAATTGTATAACTTTATTAATTTTTGAGATGTTGATTAAAAATTTTCAGGTTATATCTTTGAAACTTGTAAAATATATAAAAAAGTCGATTTTCTTGATGTTTTTATCCAAATGTAAGTACCTTAATTAATAGAAGATCATAGAAAGCAATTTGACTTTAAAAAGTCTTTTCCGCTGATTAATTATAAGCAATTGAAGCAAGATGAATATTCTTCTTAATGAAAATATCAAAGAAAATTGTAATATCTTCAATTCAATTTTATAACTCTTTCGATCAAAATTATTTCAATCCCAATCACGGGTAATATAATTTTGGAATTCATTTCCTTCGCGTTCATAGTTCATCGGAGATTCCTCGATTTCAATCACAGCCGATCGTTCGAAAACTGTACGCGCCTGAACACTTTCGTCGGAAAGAAATCGACGGAGCAAATGCGAACGGGGAGAGGGAAAGAGAGAGAATCTGTCATGAAAAAAAAATATATATATCGACAAAAGTGGGACATCGCTGTATGTATAAATATTCATTAATTTTTACATACGAGCGCCACGGGGAGTTCCAAACCCGGCAATTTCGTGCGGATTTCACGCGAACGGTAAACAGCAGCATTGATTTTCCTGAATTCTGCGACGAAACCGGGCACGTCATATCGCGTCTGTTCCAAGGTTTAGGGAGAAAGCACATTTACATAAGGAGTCCGTGCCAGCAATATCAGACGGACTGGACAATTGAATTTGGAAATCGCGCGTACCACGCCCACGATTAATCAGGCAGTTCCACCTTGAACTCGAACCACTTTACGATCAACGACGCGAAGTCGCTCTAATTGGCCCTCGTCGTTGGCCAGTACGAAGCGTTAATAACATTTGGAATGCGCGAGCCGTTCGCGTATGCCGCGTGAATTCGTAACATGGACGGAGAACGTAGTTTGATCATCGTCAAATTGACGAATAGCTCGAATTAACAGGCTTCTAAACAACCAAGCCACAAGTAAATCAAAAGAAATAGCGATTTTGTTAAGTGCTTCGAAATGATAATCGTGTTCGCGCCTGGCGAAAGATTTCCCGGACAGCCCGAAAGGATAAACGAAGACCGACTGATCGGCTGGTGCTCGGCGTTCGTCGTGGTCGCGATCACTCCTTGCGAATTGATCTAAATGTCGATTGTCTTCGCGAACAATGTCAACGCGCGAAAGTACTTCAAAATGTTCTTGAGCAATTGGAATCTTGTCAGAAGCGCGTAAGAATCAGGAAAAAAACTTTTCAAGAGAAAATTAATATTTCCTCAAAACTATGATTTTCGGTAACAGCAATTATTAATCTATCCCATTTAAATAAAAAAAAATTTAGATTCAAATCATTAGTGTTCACTAAATAAATATTTTTGATCCCCCCTTTAGATATTTTTTTCTCAATGTTGAAGCGTCATTAGGAATTTTGCTGATGTTCTACATCAGGAAGTTCTACAGAGGGAAGATCAAGTTACATACTTTAAGTATAATCAAAATATTCCCAAACAGCAAATGTTTTTTAGAGACATCCTACTTTCTCAGATGTCCTTCAGACGTATTTCTAATGTCCTTGAGAGATCTTATGGAAGTTTCTGCTCTACCTGAGTTCAAGTTACAGATAATTCTTTTATAGGAATTGTGGATAATTTTTTTAATCCGATTGCGTTACGCCAGAGGGAAGTGTCATAAGTAAGCATGAAATTCTACACGCGGCCGCAGTATGAAGAGTGACTTGCGCATTAACAGTTGTAAATCAATTTCGACGTTCCGTACAACTTAACGGTCAGCGGAACAATCCTACTGAAACGCGCGACGGTGTAAAGCCACGCACGTCGTAAAAATCGCTGAGTAACTCGAATGTCAACGTTCCGCCTGTGGCTGCAACGAGGCACGCCGAGGTGAGTCATTAAAACGGCTCACCTAATCGAAGCAATCGCTGTCAATCATTTTGCATAAACCGTGTCCAATCAAACGGCCGTAAATCTTTCTTTAGCAACGTTAAAGTTGAAACGATAGAAAAAGTTGTAACATTGTACCAAGTCGCAGTCATGTAGTGCTCGCAAGAAGTTTAAACGCTGCAGAGCTGATATAGAACGGTATGATCGACAGATATTGATATCGGACTACGCACGATTTAAAAAGATTTTATTAACGATCCATTATTGGCTACAGATTAAACTATTTTTTACTTATTATAGCTTGTCGTTTTTTTATACGAGTAGCATTCAAATGCTGCTACTTATTTCCCTTCTACGAATATACGTACGTCATATATACTAGTATATACAGGATATCTGACAATTAATACAATTAATAAAACAACAGTATAAATAAAATCGCAGACTTTTAATTAATTAATATCAATCAATAAATTATCGTAAAATTTAGGTGACATGCAACTTTAATCTATCTTTTCTCATAACTTTCTGTGAGCGTATGAGTGCGCGTGTTTATGTAAACGCGCTCTATGTAAAGAAGCAGAGAAAAAGAGAGGAAAACAAAAAAAATGGATGTATCGAAAAAGAAAAAATGTAGAACAATTACAATTTGTTTTTCACTCATACGTCATTTTCGAAACGTCTACCATTTTTTCATACAAAAATAAATTTTTTAATATAAAAATAAAATTTTCTTTTTAAATTATATATAATTTTACATTTTAAACATATCAATATTATAATATCGAATGTTCGTTATTAACAAAAATAAATATTAGTTAACCAAAGATACTTATTAATACACGATAAACGCTATTATTAATCAATATGTATGAAAGAAACTACGTTAAGTAAGAAATATATATATATTTCTCACTTAAATGTACAAAATATAACTGTATACATCTTTCGATAGCGTGCCTTTGTTACATTTAAAAGATATTAGTGCCTAAAGATCACAGAATACTTAGATGTATTTAGCTTTTCATTTTTATTGCATCGGCCTCCTTATTTCTAATATCAATTACAACCTACAAAATTTATAAGACATTTATAACGCCATTTTACCATTAGCAATTTTTGAAAACTAAAAAACAATCCGAATTTTATCAGCTACTTACTTTCCCCAAAGATTTATTTTCAGAGTAAAACTGTAAGGCGTCATTGACCTTGTGTAAACCAACAATTAACGAGCAAGATGGAGTAATAAGTCCTTCCTCGAGAAATTGTAAAACTTCATCTCCAGCTTGCCTAATTTAGAAATTAATAAAATTATTAAAAATTTCGATACTACAAATGGCAGAAATTACGAGTACATAACGTACCGGTACACATCAGGTTTTTTCTTCCTATATTCCGTGAGATTGAAACCACTGACACTGAAGGAACCTTTCTGCACCTCAGAATGAGCATCTGCTATTGTTGTTGCTGTGCCAGCTATAACCACTCGCCCTTCATGACAGAGGCTATAAGTGAACGTATTGTCCAGTATTAAATTATGGACACTTTAAATACAAAATATATACCTTCACGAGAAAGATGATGTATCACCACTGCAAAATTGTCATCACGCATCAAGTCCTTTAATGTTGTGTCTTTGTAGACATCGGTGAAGCTAAAATATATCCTGTATTTCAACAGTACATCTTACCTAGAGATAATCCGAGTGGCACAGCTTTCTTGAAACCCGCTAAAAATTTACTTCTATCAACTATATAAGATCTTTAGAACTCACCAATCCAGTACTTTCTTGAAGTATTCCCCATCAACATCGTCAAAAATGGCTTTAATATCTCGCTCGGCTGCAATCTCTTCTAACTGCTTCAATAACTTCTTACTTTTATACTTGAGAGATGTGAACGCTCCTTTTTCACGGACTAGATTTGCTCCATCTTCTGTAGCACAGACTCCAATAACCTGTTTGATTCAATGTGAAATAGTAAAGTGTTAAGTAAATTTATTGTTTACTGAAGATTCTCTTCAAATGACTTAATTCTAAGCTGTATTTAATTATCCAGATATTGAAAATAGAAAATTAAAATATATTCTAAGACTTATTGTTAGAATAAATATATTGTAATAAATTGGTTTTTAGGTAAAGCTAAAGATGTTGTTAAAATAAACTTAGATATAAATATAGCAAGATTGCAATATAAAAATATATGACTGAAACATATGAATTACTAGGAAATGTGACAAAAATATTATAGTTAAATATAAAAGAAATACCTTAGCTCTAAAAACATTTGTAGCTAAGTCCACTGCTGCTAGACCAATACCACTTGTGCCAACATTTATTAAGATCATATCATTCTCATCGAGATTGACTTTCCTCTCTAATGCAACCAGAGCAGTAACATAGTTGTCTAAAATACTCACAGCATCTATGGATTTTAGTACAGAAGGTACTTTCCATATATCCTAGATCAAGCAAAAGATTATAAAGCTTATTAACCCTCATGGGTCTGAAATTTCATATTTTTTATATCTTACTTCAACTTCAGCCAAGCATTTCTCAGCCAAGCCTCCATAGCGATCTTTGTTAAGGGCAATGACTTTGTCGCCAATTCTGTAGCCATTCTTTTTTGCTTCTGCACCAACCTCAATTAATTTTCCGACAACTTCATAACCAAGAACTGTTGGTAATTTTGGTTCAAATATGTATGAATTTTTACTAATGAGAATATCAGAAGCATTCAAGGCGCAATAATGAACATCAAGAAGAACCTATGAAGATACAATTGCAATTATCATTAATATGTATTCTTGACACTATGTTATTAATATTTAAATATACATATTATAGAACAAATTATATAAGTTATACTTGAAATATTTTCTATAATATATATATATATATAATTTACATATACTTCATTATGCTGCACTCTTTTTGGTGGCTCCAAATTTTCTATAACAAAAGGATTGGAGAATTCCTTCAATACTGCAGCATGTATTTTTCCCGGTTCCGGTGCCAAACAAACATTCTTAACAGATTCCGCATTTTCTTCAGTAGATATTAATCTAGCTCCGATAATACGATGCGACAAACTGCCTCTATATAATTTTGTGAAAATTCTACGTCCTATTGATGACATGATACTCAGTTCAGTTCAGTTTTCAGTTCGGTATATGGTTTTAGGTAGAAAGATGCACCCATACACCATTCTCCAGCTGCGTTATGACATGATACTAGAAACAGAGAGGAATGTGAGAGCGGCCAACACGGCGTTTTCGGCGACACCGATTTTTCGCACTGGGAATGGGCGCTATCTGCATCCATTTTGAGAGCGGAACTACGATGCTACATCCACTTTTAGGTCTCGACGGTAAAACCTGCATCTGGTGGCTGTCCGTGCTACATCCACTTTCAGGCGGTTTATGTCCGTGCTACAACCATAATAGCGTACTTGACAAGCGCGGTCTCGCACAATAGCCGCGTTCAGTAGAACAAAGTGATCAGAGAGCGCTTAGTGATTATTGTCTGTGATTGGAGCATTCTTTTAGATTCTTCATAGACCCAGAAGTATTTACCAATCAGGAGCAAGATTCAGTGGTAAATCTAGTAATGTTGTCCAACTGTTGAGTTTGCTGAATGCAGCCATTGGCTGCGTTCAGAAAACACAACGGTTGAGTAATTCGTCAACGTTATTGGTCTGAATGTAAGGATCTAACAGTAAGGACCAATAGTTACTAAGCGCTCAGTGAGCGCTTTGTTTTCTGAACGCAACCTTTGTGTCCAATCGTGCTGTATCGAATAGATACCCGATGCAGCTTTCTCTTCTTCTAGATTGGCATATAAACTAAACTTTAACCAGTTGTTATATATGACAGCTCGCTCTTCCTTACTGCACCTTATTTATTATCAAAACATAAATAGGAGCGGTCAGACAAAATGCGACCACGCAAATTTAAACTACCATGTAACATTGATAGGTAAACAATTATTTATAAGATGCAAATAGAGATGTTTATATAATTAGGAATATTTATTAAGAATCGTCTATCTTATAAAATTAATGTTCTGATGATTATTTTTACATTAAATTCAGTTTTACGCATACTGACAAAAAAATAGTGGTTGTGTCAGTATTTGGAAAGTCACAATATCGAGCAAAAGGATGCAAGACAGACATGCTTAGTTCTGTACTTGAAGTGAAACTCTTGGATGAGCCTAAAATTGATGAAGATTCTTTGGTAAGAAACATTCTCTTTCTAAATTCTTAGAACTTTTTATTAAGTAGCAAGTTAATTCTAATTAAAGGTATATTTTTCATGTAGTGTGAGATTGAAGGATATTACAATACTAAAGAAAAGACAGTTTACTTGCATTTGAGAGGATTTTTGGATACTCATACAGTTTTAGCGGAGTATGACAAATTCACAGAGAAACAAGACTGCAAAGATTTCCTCAGTGTATGGGCACATATGAGAGATAAATATGCTAGAGCCCTTCTAGTACTTTTTCATATATCTCATGTAATTGTCCTTACTCATCCCACATATAATTTTGACTACAGCTATATGCATTTATTTAGAGCTATGGATATAATCAGGTTAATATCGGATACTTATCTTGTAAAATTCATTTATTTAATTCAGAATATTGAAAGTGTATGCTAAAGGATATGTAAATGAACACATATATATATATGTATATATATATATATATATATATATGTGTGTAAAGTTTAGAGGTCATAAATGTTCCTCTAATAATTGATGCAATGATTTTTTTCTCATAGACAAAAAGTTTCTCCTCAACTTTCTGATGTACTAAGTTGCATTCATAATCTACCCAAGGATTGGATTTCAAATGTCAGACCTTGCTCACCTCGAGTTCTATTTTATTTTGAAAGCTGTCCTGTAGTATTTCAGAATCCAAACAGTGATGTTAATATCAAAAAGTTGGAGCATTCCCTTGAGGATCAGATTTATCATACATTAAGGAAAAATAGGATTGTTACCAATATTAGGTATGAGATAACATGTAATATAAGGCAAAAACACATATTTGATAAAAAGATATTGAGATTGCATTGTTTTATTTTTAGCTCAAATTCTTTGTTTGCGATACCAGCTAATCAAGAATTTGTTTATGTGCATACTGGGAGTACAGAATCAAGCGATATGTTGGGTTACATGGCAAGAAAGTTAATACAAAGTTGCAAAGTAAGTTCCGGTGGTTCAACATCAAGAAGTCTTATTAGTTTGGACTCAAACATTACAACAGATGATGTTGAAGAAGGTAAGATGAAAACAAAATAAGCGACATATATTGATGTACATGGAAACATAATGTTCATCTATTTACAGAACCTCACTCCTTCAGATTGTTTTTGCAACAACACATCGATTTGGCCTTTGCGAGAGGATTTGATGACAATGTCGGACGACATTCCGTGCCTGCTTCTTTCGAGGTATTTCTTCGTGAATTATATCATTGATCTAAATATTATTTTAACATCGAACATATCGCCGTTTCCGATTATGTTTCATTCATTTGCATCAGAAGCAAATACAACATGTCTGTTACTAGATAGAAAAACGCGCATGTATATGGAGATTAGATCTGAACACGAAAGTTGTTTGTCATTTTGCAAACAACTACGCAAAATTTTGAATTACGAGTGTTGTTCGAAAAGTTCTCGATTTGACACAGAGATAGGAATATCCACGCCAGGAATATCAACTGGCTATGATTTTTCTCAAGTTTGATCCTCCAGAGAGCCTACCGTAACGTTACAGACAGATGCCTTCAGTCATTTGTTTGTTGTGTTCGAGGAAAGGAAGCAAGATTTGGTGTTTCTCGAAAAATGGATAAAGTCGAGTATCGCGCAGTGATAAAGTACTTCGTTTTGAAAGCCCACATTTAACGCTCAAATAAAAGACGAGCTGGATTCCACTTTGGAAGAGGAGTTCACCATCGTTTTCAACGGTGAAGAAATAAGTTGCTGAATTCAAACTTGGTCGTTCGTTCATTTATGACGCTGAACGCCCAAAAATCGCTACGACTGAGGAAATCATCGCAAAAATCCACAATGCCGTGTTAAGTGATCGATGAATGAAAGTGCGTGAGCTTGCTGCCATTGCAAAGATCTCAATAGATCGTGTTAACAACAACTTACACGAACATTTGCACATGAGAAAGCTTTCAGCGCGATGGGTGCCGCGTTTGCTAACGGTTGATCAAAAACGCACTCGCATGAATATTTCTCAGGAGTGCTTGGACATGTTTAAATGCAATTCGACCGAATTTCTGCGACGATTCATCACTTGATGAAATATAGATTCATCACTACACGCCAGAGACGAAACAATAGTCCAAACAATGGGCGGAAACAGGTGGAAGTGCTCCAAAGAAGGCAAAAACAGTTCCATCGGGCGGAAAAGTGATGGCGACTGTTTTTTGGGATTCGAAGGGTGTGATGCTTATAGACTATCTACAAAAAGGCAAAACCATCAACGGAAAGTATTATGCAGCATTGCTGGAATAACTGAACGATACTAATAAGTCCAAACGTTCTCATTTGGCAAAAAGAAAAGTGCTTTTCCATCATGACAATGCACCCGCTCACACATCTTCGATTGCAGTTGGTCTAAGTGTATTGAGTTGAAAGGGAACTATGTAGAAAAATAAAAAAACATTTTGTCAAATATCATATGTTTTCTTTGTCAGGCCGAGAACTTTTCGAACTACCATCGTATTAAAAAAGAATGATCGAGCCGAGGCTAGATCGAATCACAAAATCCGTGTTTCCCATATATTTTATTGGACATAACATCAGTTTAAAAAGTAGAAGATTCAGTAATATAAATATTTTTCAAATCTCTTAATGCAAATGGCTTAAAAAATAAACAGATACCGACCTTTAGCGTGTTTTGTCAAGTGGCGAACAAGGTCTTCGACTACTTCATTCACAGCACCGATAAAGAACTGTTGGCGCTTCATAACTTGTTAGATACCGATGTAAAGTTCAGCAAAAGTAGATGCAGCAAGGTACTTCCAAGAGCTTTGCAAACATATCAGGAGAACTTGCCACAACACTACACAAGGTAGAGTTTTATCAATGAAATATCATCGCGATTCGAAAACGTTGCATGCGTCCAACTAAAATTGTTTTCAGAGCATACCACGAATCGAAGTTGGCACATGCAATGGCGGTTTTCGAGATGCATGCGCGCGGCCCGTTGTTCGAGGAATTCAGTGAGAAACTACAGGCCGAGTGCGATAAGCACTGGCGTGCTGGCCGGCAAATGTGTGAAGTTCTCTCGCTCACTGGTCATCCTTGCACGAACCCCATCCACAGAGGCGGTAGCGAGGGTGCTGGAGGTGGTGAACAGGCAGAGCCCAGAGATGATGATAAGTATGTAGCATACGTTGACAGTGTCAGATATTAATTAATTAAGAAATCTTAGTTGACTAAAATATAATTAATCGTCATGTATGTAAATGTATGAATAATTTAATCGATTGATGAAATTTATTATTAATCACTATATAAGTAATCAAATCAGAGTAATTGATTGGAACTGTTGTATGTAATCACAATTTACTTGATAATAGATTATTTTAGTCAACCACAATTTCAATCAGTTAATCGCATTATATATGTATCTTCTGCGAAACATTAACCAGCGGTCATCAAGAATCTTTCCTTTCATCCGCAGTGAATTACCTGCTCGAGAACATTGCAGTGGTGTCAGATACGTATGTGCCTGCAACTGTGGTCGATATCAAAGTTCGAGAGAGGACCCCTTTAGTCTGAAACAGGCCAATTACGACTATTTCCAATTGCTGGCGAAACAGTGCGGTTGTACGCAATTGGAGAGCATACAATTTCCTGTGTTTCAACCCAGCACTCATAACTTTAGGTAGAATATATTTTACGAATTTGCGAAATTTTTCATATTCAATCTATTGAGTCACACAAGAGGGTGACCTAAATAGTTGTAGAACCCAATTAGTAGAATATTCGTATCTCACTTTTCTTGATATTTTTTGTAGTTTGTATTGAGATTCTATTCGATATAACTACAATAATTAATATATTTTTTCTTATGCAGAGCAGCACAATTATTCTCTTCAACGAAACGTCACGATTCCTTCAGTCGTACTGGATCTTCTACACCTCAAGGACATACGCAAGCTTGCAGTTTAGGAGGCGACAGCTTAAACGGTAAGCAATAACACTTAAGTAAAACATAAAATTCATCCAATAATAATACAGTAACCGAATTATTAATTCCTTGCTAATGAACAAACTATTATTTTTTTCCGGGAATGTTATAGGTGAAATTACAGATTATGGTAGTGGTGGCCAGTCGCCGGTAACGAGTGACCCGATCGAAGAAGATATCCCTAGATTAAGCAATAAGACGAGTCTTACGCCTAGTGATGCGCACAAAGTCGTCATAGAAGTTACCGATAGCGACGCCGAAAACTCGAAAGGTGCTCAACTTTATTTTTTCGCTGTTACTATTTTGCTACTGCGCAACTGTTTGAAGAATGTGAATGGAAAATGTGAATTATAAATACATATGTGCGTTATAGAAAAGTCGCTGGTCAGGCAACCATCAACAACGGAATACTTGCCGGGAATGTTACACACCGAATCACCGATTGGCTTGTTACCGCAGTTCTCCAGCTGGTCATTGGTATGTCTCGGACCTAGTAGTCTTTATTCTCATAACTTAGGACTGCAACATCAGACCGGTGTATTACCAACATCCGCATTTCTACTACCGTGGGATGTAACAGTGAGGTGAGATGAAATTTCATTCAGGGTTGGATGATATTTGTAACAACCCAAAATGTTTATTACAGATTAGAACATCAAAAAGAACGAAGCTCTTTATGGCCTACGATTAATGACCATGGAGCTCATGGCAGTTATTGTCCACGAGGTAAAAACTTTCAGAATGCAAATCCTATTCGTGGTCGGAAGTCGAAAGGTGGTAAGGAATTCGTCGTTAAGATATTTGTCGGCGTGGAGTACGAATGCCCACGTGGACACAGATTTATGGCTTCTGCACCCGACAAGGTGCTGAAGGCAACTGGAAGCGGGATCGTGAAAGACAGTGGGAACAAAGTTACCTCTAGTACGGCAGACATGCCGCTGTACTTTCCGTGCCCGTGCAGGTTCGTTGAATTTACATTACACGTTTAATATAATCATCTAGATAAGATTGATATCTCCTTCTTTCCTTCGTTTAGGTCAACTAAGCCATTAATTGCGCAATTAATGAGAATCCATGTTGTAACGCCTAAAGCACCTGTACACGTCACATTGAATCCCCGGGTACAACCTGGCCCACCACCTTGTCCAATATTCGTCACTGGATGCGAAGAACCGATTAAACTCTCGCAGAGTGCATATTGGATCTTGAGATTACCGTATCCTTATCTACATTTTTGAAGCCGTTAATACTCGCGGAAGATTTACGTTACTTCTAACGTCCGGTATCTGAAAGAATAGATTCTGAAAAATGTAGCTAGATAAAATCCCTAAGAAACAAATTTTGTCAAAAGGAATGAAAATTATGAAACGATATCTGTGATAAATGCTTTTACTCTTGTACAAATATATATATCAAAATCTGTAATTATTTTCTCTTTCAATCTTCTGTTTACAGGGGGAATAGCAGTTTCGCCTTCTACTTAATCGATTTTTCCTTTTCATTTAATAATTCGTAAATGCAATAAACAAGTTAAATTTTTCCTTATAAGTTTTGCAGTTATGTATATATAGGTGAGAAAGGACCATATTTAGTACCCAAGGAACCAGTACCTACCTCTCATGGACGTTTGTTAGCTGGAATGTATGGTATCAGTGAAGTTGTGCCAGAGAAAAAATAAGACGATTATTTATTATTTTCTATTAATCATTATTTTATAATTGATTGTTAAATTGCGTTGGTATATATAATGATGAGGAACTTAAAAGAATAAAGACGAGAACTTGTTGAAGAAATTATTAAAAAATAAAACAAATAAGTAATTTTTGTTTTTATTTCCTTTCAATTATCAGAATACGAATAGACAATATTAAAAATAGGATAGTACCTAACATACATTCCATAGAAAAATATGTACCTTATTTTTGTTGAATATTATAAAAAATGATGTGGATAATGATTATTTTATACGACAAATTCTATCTTAAATTTTTAAAAAGCGCGCGTGCTATTCGCAATTATCAATTTAAATCAACGTCAATTTAAATCTCACAACCTGCACGATCGTGCTGATTGGTCGTATTTAAAATTGTAATGGTCACATGTGAGGAATTCACATTTGTAATTGGCTCCTATGTTCCTTCAATATCGTTACAAATTTTATTTACAAAGACAATTTTCATATTTTTCGAATTCTTTCATAATTTAGTAAAATATTTATTTGCGAAATGGACAATGAAAGATGAAAGAAATGCCGTAGAGAATTGTTGAATTGTTTTTGGAATGAATATAACTAGCGAAATTCGCGGTAAAAGTGAGTCCGCCATGTGCAATAGACATAACCGTCACCGGCGCACAAGCCAAAACAAGAATAAAGTACTTGTCACTGCATTTGAATCGAGAAGGTGGTTATTTTCGTTGCTCACGTATGCAAAATTCGCGATGACGTGATAGAAACCATCGATTTTTCTGCGAGATCGTAAAAAATCATAGGAACAACTTATGTCTAATATTCGCTCAACGTGTGAAATTGTGATACGAGAATAATAGAATAGTCACGAGGTGATTAGTTCACTTCGACGTATTATCTATTTTTAGTAACATTTTTTAGTGGTACGTTCAGTTTTGTAACGTTACTTTTAACAAACTTACTGCTATTGTCAAAATAATATGTATATATGTGTATACATAATTTATCTACTTTACTTTACTGTTGTCAAATAATTGATTCTGTGTAATTTTTATAGGTTTGAAATATTTTTAATCAATAATTATACAAAACTATAAATTTTGCCAAAATATTACTTGAGAACATTTTTTCAGGCAGCAAATTGAGTGTTACTTGAGTGTTTAGTTAAGTATGATGTACATTAAAATGTACTGTAAGCTGTTATTATTGATATTTATCGTATTATTTAACTGTGAACTTGGGAGTACATCGGTATTAGATTGGATATGGCAAACAAAAACAGACGATACAACTGTTTTGGTGGCAGATGGTGTACCTTTGGTTTCAATTCCTTACGAATCAATGACAGAAGATGAGAAGTTTCTTCAAGAAGCTGCAAAGTTCACAGATATTCAAGTATCTTCTCCACTGGAAACTTGTCAGCACAAAGTTGTAATGAAAATAAGAACATCCTGCAGTGATATGACAGAGGAACAATTAGCTAAGCTTAGTGTCAATCTTCTTAATTGTCAATCTGCAGTAGAAGGCAGAAAAATGTTTTCTTGCACAGAAGAAATGGTATGTATTTTGTTTTTTGATGTATTTTGTATTTCTATATATATCATAATGAAAATTATATCTTATCAATTTTTTGGCTGACTATATTCTGTTTCCTATTCTATACTAAATTCTATTACTATTCTAATTCTATACTAAATTCTATTTCATGAAAAAAAGTAATCTATTTCGTTTAATAAGAAATATACTTTGCTATCCTATACTTTTCGATATACAGCTTGAGAATTTACTTAACAGATTTATTATGCAAGAATATTGATAATATATACAAGAGTTAACAAGTATTTATCTTTATACTAACTATAGAACTACAATATATACCACTGCAGATTGTCTGAACCCTTCATAAATTGAGAGGGTAAATTCCATGTGCATGTTAGAACCTGCACAGTTCCCCCACCCTTCAATCCTGAAGACCTCCCCAAAGATTGGGGTTCCAATATACTACCATGGTTTAGTTACTCTCTTGCATCAGTGCTTGAATTAACTTGGTCATAAATGTTAACATTATAGGAAATTAATTATAATCTTAAAAATATCAAAAAAAAGAAAATATATAAACCAAATAGTGCTAGGAAAGTGTGCATTTTTTATAAGATACCTAATATACTGCTTATCATGTAAGTATAAAAGTATAAATTATATCTTTTTAGTCTCTTAAACAATGTACAACCGATATGGATGCTGATATGTGGAATGCCTATCATTTAATGAGTAACAGAGCGAGAGCAGTTTGTTATGCAACTCGAGGTACACAATTTAGGGCTCTTACAGAATTGACAGTTAACAAACTAATGCAATCTGCACACTCCCAGATTGATGCATTGAACTCCTTGAAGGTTGTTATTATTATTATTCTATTATTATATCTCGAATATAAATCAGTATTTTCATTATGATTTTATTGATTGTATCAAATAGCAAAGTCAAGATCGCTTAGAAGAACAAACAACAGAGGCACTGTTATCATTGTCTGCAGGAAATAAAGCACTTTTAGAGCAACAGAATTATCTGAGGGATGCACAGATAACAGCTCACAATCTTGTGACAACGAATTTAAGAGAGTTGAATGATGAAAAAGCATTGATACGATCTGGACACGCTCAACTCGCCGCCATGACAGAGAACATAAAAAATAGATTAGGTGATAAATATCTTCTAATGTAAATTTTTGCTTTACATAAGATTTCTCCAAATTAATTATAATATATTCTTCAGAAAAGGCACAAGAGGACCTTGAACAACAATCTATCGAGCGTGGAGCTAACCATCAAGAGATCCTGCAAGACTTGATTCAAATACAGGAACAAGCGCAATTAATCTGGGAGAAGATCGAAAGCAGCACTAGTCATATATTGGACAGACACGAGAGAACAATCGTGCAGTATGAACAAACGTTGCACAAACTTACGCAAATCAATGATACTATTCAATATATCTGGAATGTCACTGACACAATGCGTAAAGAAATGGATCAAAAGTTAGGATGGATTACTGATTATATTGGAGACACTGGTAGGTATATTACATATTGACATATAGAGTATTAAAAAACGTAAATTCAAGATTTACATGGTAAGAAGCACTCATTATATTAAGTAAAAACTGCTTGTAGTAAATATAGATCGAAAAATCGGCTTTTTCAGAGTTACAAAATGTTTCTTGGTTTTGGTATAAATGCCCACATGTAAACATACAGCATGTAAAATATACAAGTATAAATTTGGAATATATCTTGACTACCACATCTAATATCATGCGATTTCTGCTTTCAGGTGAACAAGTGCAGAGAGTGTATCGTACGGTTTTACACGTCATTTACATACTAGTAGCAATGATAGTCGCTTCCTTTTTACAAGCGCCCTTTTTGACCAGAGCTACCATCATGGGTATCGTGCCAGTGAATCTCATAACTTATTTGAAACATGGCATGGAAGCTTCCTTAGATTTTACATCTATGACAGTGTTAATATTCTTAATCACTGGGAGTAAGTTATGTGTATTGTACATATCACAATTATAGATGCATATAGACTTCAACCGCAAGATCTGTAACATGAAATTCATAAACTTACGTCTAACTTAACGCGTTCTCTTTAACACAGTGCATTTTATAATGCTGGGAATACAACGTATCTTTGGGCCAAGCAGATTGAATACGAAATCGGCTGATTTGGCCTATCAGAACGGACATTCGAACAGAGATGCGCACGAATACACATCGTCGTCGTATTCCAATTCCATTTCAAAGGCGCCACTGCACACGAGATTAATGAAAAGAATTCGGGAACTTTATAGTTTCATTGTTTCTAAAGCAAATCGCTGCGCAGGTATATTCTCGATTTAGTCAGAAAATAATGTAAAAGAGATTAACTTGTAATCGCCGTTATTTTTCAGAAAAGATCAATGCTTTAGTACAATCGGCCATTTCATGGAGTCGACAAAGTTCAAATGCACACGAGGAGCTCTCCTGTTCGTACCAGCCGTCGAAGAAGAAACGCGAGGACGTCATTCGTAACTATTTGAATAACCGGGAATTGCCGACTATGATCTCGGACATGGATAATTCCTTCAATATAATAAATACAACGCAGTATGATGATGACGATAACAGTGACCATAGCGACAATGACAATGACGGCGATGATGAGAACGAGCGCAACAACAATGATGACCATAACATTAATGACTTAGTGGACGCTTACGAACTCAGACGTCGTCTGCGTAAAATGGATCCAATGCAATCCAAAAGGTACGTGAGATCTTTAGAAGCTAGAAAGTCATTACGATTTGGTAAATAACTAACAAACTTGTGCGATATAGTGTTACTCCGTCATTCACATCGCCGAGAACATTCACCTGTTTGGCAACAACGAGGGCTGGCAAACAATGTCGAATGATCGCATCGCCTGGAAGAAACTATTGCTACCATCATGCTAGCGGTACATCTCTCATTGGTAACTGAAAGAAGAGAGCTGGGAATGTATAAGTTCCCATTAAAATTGAATTTGAGGTTCATAGTAAGCGTTGGATAGTGTGACAATTGATCCTCCAGTCATGCTCAGCAGCATATTAGGCGATTAATACGCTCGCAGCATATCTTGAAAACGGTACTTACAGATTATGTTAAATTTTAAGTGATTTAACATAATACAGAATGCCTCGCGCGAACGCCTTAATCAATATATCGATAGTTACCAAAAGTTTCCGGCTAGCCGCATCTGTGTCTAGCTGTGCGTTTCTCATGACTGAATTAATAAAAAAAATCCGAAACATTCAAAGAAAAATAATATTTTGATAACATTTTGATGTTTCGTACATTTCAATGAAGAAAGTTAAACACTTGTAAGGCATATTTAACAGAAGGATATTAAGAAAGACAAAACAGTTATGTATAAAATTAATTTTTGTACGCGCGCGCATGCGTTTGCACTCGTACATATTAATGTTAAATATCGATATCAAAGTATCCGCGAAACCGTATGTATTTTTATATAAAAATTTTTATGAGAGAAATTGATATAACAGGTAGCGAATGTATTAAAAAAGGATTCACAGTCTTAGTACACTTGTTTATGATAATAACAATAAAATTTTTTCTTCTATTCATGGCATACGCAGTGTGATATGTTTAGTAAAAAATTAATCATTGATCGAATTATATAATATCCAAATTTTATAGAATAAGAGATTATACGTTTCTTTTCGTATTTCTTATAAATGCTATTTCGAGCGTAAGTATCTTTATTCTATGTTTATGTAATGTAATAATAGCGTTATTTATAGTTTATAATTAATTTATTTTATTATCGTAATTTATATAATTTGTTGGAGGTGAAAGTATACTTAAAAATCATGAAAGTTATAAAAAAAGAAAAAACGGTAGTTCTAATAATACTTGTCGTACATGAACCGTACGTTTTTCAATTATATATATGTTATGTGTAAAGTATCTTCACACCGATTTCTTACTATTTTTCTTAATACTATACGTAACAATAAAATTGCGCATCTCCGTGTTCAATGCAGGCTATAAAATATCTAATACATAGCGATATATAATTTATTACTCTAGAAAGACATTACAAAGCATAAAATGACATGTAAATGTTTTTTGTAACACTTGTATGAAACCATGTAAATTGATACAAATACAAATTCCTGTTTCTATGTTCGCAATATTCTAGCCATCAATATAGATCTTAAGAATCACATAAACAACGAGTTTTGACCTTTCATCCGCAGACCGCCATGTTAAATTGCGTGCAAACAGCGTTGCTTGTTAGTTCTAGGAACTTCCCATATCTGTCAAGACCGGTTCCCACTACCAAGTTGCGCAAGTTGCAATAATTCACGCCATAATCGAATATCAGGAACCATTTGTTTGACACAGAATCAGCCTACATATTCAAACGGATATATTTACTACTAACATTATTTACGTTAATAATACTTAAGAATTCTAGTGGTCTAGTGAGACGTGAATTCAGCGTGGTATTTAACATATTAAAAGTTAATACAGCAATGATCAGATATTTTATGTAACTTGGCGCATTTTCTAGCAGCTATTAGATGTTATCACCGTAGATTAATTTCGATTATTCGATCGAGAATTTACCGTAGCGAGACATGTGTTGTTCACTTCTTTGAAGACGATCTTAATTTTCTCATGTGCCTTCGGGTACAAAGTAACATGCGTCGCTCTGATCATATTTTCTTCTGCAGATGTCTGGAGCTATTATATGACGACATATTAATACCAATCTACGTCTGATGATAAAATCGTGTCTTTACCAGGTATACGCAATCATTGCGTTGCCGACAGGTGTTCCAAGAGGGCGAATGCATTATTTGCCATCGGAATTTTTGCATCACGTACGTGCAATTTTCGTCGAATTTCCTGGAAAATTAAAACAAAATTTTTTAAATACTAATTTTCTTCATATTTCTATACACACACATTATATACATTAAGATTACCATTTTACAATGCATGATGCATGTAGAGGATACGGAAACAGTGTGCTAATAAATATGATGCAAAAGGTTACTGCAAGCGTTCCAATGAAGCAACAACTACAGTACTTGAATTTTCCATTAGACCAGTTGTCCGTTACTCCTATTGAAGATCTCTCATTAACTATAAAAGAAAAACAGAAATAATGTTATCATTTATGTAAAAGTGCATCTTTTTAAAACCAATGTACTGTCTCACATCAGGTATAAATATAAAATTTGATTAAAAGATATAATCTTTGTATAATATTTCTATATATTTTTATCGTTGTCAGTTAATATCTTGAAAAATTATAAACAGAAAGAGAAATGCTCGTAGATAACTAGGAATTAAAAAAAAATTGTAGATAACTAGATAATTAAAAATTTATCCATTGCACACTATCCAACGACATTGCTTATAAAAATATTAGGCTAAAAATTATTAATTAATATTTTTTCGAATATAACTTACCATTTTTCTCCGGAATATCTTCGGGAATCTGCGATTTCGCCGATTTTCTGCTGCTATGGCGAAAATAATACGGTGGATTTATTGTTGCGTTATCTCCACGTGCCACCATCTCGGTTCTCTTGACGATCTTCGACGAACGAACCATTACAAATTGATTATCTCTTATAAAGAAGATAAAAAATGAAAAATTCGCCCTTTCCCGAAGTCTGCTTCTGCTGAAGAGGCAAACAACTGTCATTCTGCGTATGTATTACATTACGCCTTTGTTTTTCTTTTTGCGACTTCTTTTATGCAATAACATTGGTCGTTCCGAAATTCCAATGTTGTTTTTTATTTATCGAAGCTTCGAAAACCTGTGTAAAGAAATCACAATTAAAAATAAATTGAGATTAAAATTTAGAATATTTTATCGTAATTAAAATGATCTGTTTTTTGTATGTTTTACGAGAAATTTCTTTTGAAGAAGAAAAGAAAAATCTGGTTAATTGAGGTCGAGGAGAGAAATATAATGACTATTTTTCTCGCTTTTGTAAAAGTCACCGAATATTAATAATCTTGTGATTATTAATGTACGCGAAATTAAACACGAAGATATTACTATACACACGTCAAAACATGTCAAAATGTTATATATATATATCTCAACCACGGAAGATTTTCTTCAGACTGATAACGGCCTTATAACTTTTGTCTGAAACACTTTTCTATAAAACTTATATCTTTCGAGATTTTTAAGGGTTCCCATCTTTTTTCCTCACCCTGTATAATTGTAATATTATTGTTATATAAAAAATTACTCCTAGTTTTCTCATGTCTTGCGTTCGTCGATACGCGGCGAATAACGGCGTTTTACAGCGCCGCATTGGCTGCTCGTTGTATACTGTGCGATATTACAGAAAGATATTAGTATATATGTATGAGGCGACTGAAGATGTCAGCTTATTTTATCTAGCTGGACAGCCGGCAACGACGTAGTTTCGGTTTTTCAAGTAAATCAGAATTTTTATAATAATCCCGAAATACGATGTCTCGAATCTATCTTCCTCTCTTTTCTGAACAGAACTTCAGAAAACTCAACTCCGCAAGGAAACGAGTTCTCCTTTATAGCTATCTTATTTTCGATACTTTTAACGTTATTATACATTAAAAGGTTTTCACATTAGAGAAAACTGAAAATTTCCATCTTACATATATCAATAATATTATTTTCCGCAATTATGACATCGGTATATTCAATATTACTATTAGTAATAATCAGCAGTAGAATACTTAGTAAACAGGAAAATACTGTTTTTCTATTCATTCTTATCAATATTCACATAAGTACGTCCTAATTTTTTAATAGACCTTTATTGTGTGTGTTTATAGTTTATATATCTTCATGAATAAAACTGCTTAGATTCTCTTTAGATACAATTTATTAATTTATATTTTCTAATTCTTTTTATAATAAAAAACATACCTTCTATAGGCATATTTCTTTGCATTCTAATATACTCCACATTATACCACAGTAGTAACTTCCAGTTCATTGTCATCATAAAATGTCTTTAATGCTAATACATTTTTCTTTAGTTTTATCGTAGATACCTCTATATTGTGCAGAGTAATTTCTTCTTTCCCCGTTTCTCCATCTGCTAATGCTAATAAAACTTGTGAACGAGTTGGTGCCATACGTGATAAGAACTATAACAATGTTAATATTTAGGCTTAATGATATCATTATATTTCTATCATATATTTTAATTTGACCATATGAAAATCATATTAACAATAAATAAAATATTTGTACTCACATTAAATAATTGCTGTGCCATCCAACCATGATAAGGCTCTAAGGTTTTGTGATATGCCTCTTTGAGAAATGCAACTAAATCTTCTGTTGCTTTTCCTGCTTTATGATCCTCCACAATTTTTTCAAAAAATAATAATATCATATGTAAAGCCCTAAACGACATTAACAAATGTTATAAATATTAAAAGAAAAACCATATGTGAGCATGCACACATATATAAATATAGAAGATAATATGTAATATACTTATACCTTCTTAACCACATTAAAGCATCAACTGCAATAAGATCTTTCTCAGTAGATTTTTCAAGTAAAATCATGTCTTGTAATGTTGAGTTACTGTTTTTATCCATAGAATATCTAGTTGTGAGTTTCTGTAATTAAAAGAGAAATATACATATGTTCAATCCTATAGCAACTCAGGTAGTTTAAGTTTGTATTAGTATTAACTCCACCAAACAACCTGCAGCAGATTTTCGCAGTATCTGCTGTAAATTTTGTCAGCGGCTTGCTAGCAGCAACACAACAAAATCTACTAGCAGAATGACAACAGAAATCAAACAGGATCTGTTATTCTACAATCATTTAAATATATATAAATAAAACATTACAGATCATGTTTGGTTTTTTGTCATCAATTTGCTGTTAGTAGGCTTCGTCAATAGAACACAAGTTTGATGCAAACACAGATGGCTATAAATTTAGCATGACATTCTAATTGAATCTGGTGTCAATTTGCTAATATATTATTAACATTTCGTTTATTAGACAGTTAGTGTTTACTTACATCAATATTGCCTTGCATATCATATCGTACAGGGGCAAATAATTTGCCCAATTTATCTGAAACATAAATTAGCTCTTTATGCTTGCAAATTGTCACATATTTAAAACATATTTAAACATAAGACATATTTAAAAAAATTTTTAACGAAATGTTTGAATTTTCGATTATCTTTATGTTATATAATTTGATATTAAAATTTTAAAGGAATACGTACGAATTGTGTGCACGACATCACGTGCAGCTTGTAAAAATTCTTCAGTGTTTATTTTGCCGTCAATTATCTCAGGAAATTGTATTCTATCATCGGATTTTGCTCCCGTAGAAATTTCTTGCATAGCCGAACTGAAGGATGACATGTTTGGACATATTCTATAATTATAATTCTATTTAGTTTTATCACTTGAAGTATGAATTTGATAGATTCTGAAATAGCGAAGTATTACTATTACATCAGTGTTGCCAATCGTTGACAAGATTTTTCTACTAGGTGTTATCTTGAGTAGTACGCGGGAACATCAAATCCCACACTAAATTTTATTTTGTATAAAAAATTGTTTTAGAGAGGAGAAATAATATAAATTGCTATTATTGAATCATATTGTATGGGAATGTATTAATTAGGTATTCAGCAGTACTAGTGAAGAGTATATATGCTAGTACTTACAGATTTTATATTTTAAATTAAAAAAACATATATAATTTTTAACATTGAAAAATTACAGTAAGCTTTGGAAGCGAAAATTAAAATTAAAGACAATGTGAGAAAATTAATCCACCGAGTAAAAGTTAAACTATTTAGTTACGGAATCGTGACTACGGTCAGATGTCTACGACCTATGTCCTGTCTGGCAAAAACAAAACGTGGAACAAAATGGTACAGGAGAGAGCAGTTAGACAATAGGCAATTAAGTGAAAAACAATACAGAGAAACTTAGCCGAAGGACACAACTACTTTCATTCAATAGATTTTTTATCGCAAATGCGAACTGTGAAAGAAAACTTTTTTTTCGAATCATTGTGCTGAGAAATGACATTGCAAAATTTTGAACATCGTGTGATAAGATTTATTATACTAATGTCCATACTATGGATCGGTACATACATGCAAATTTGGCTATAACCATTTCCACTAATAATATAAAAATATACAAGAATAATTACGACTTAACACATTATATAGATTGTTAAACTTTCTTTGAGTTGATAATTTTTTTTGGGTCCGAATAAAGTTTAAAAATATATGAAAAATTGTTTAAATCCTTTAGTTTAAAATGAAAAAGAACTGGCGAGTCTTTTATTTATGATAAATAGTTTATAATATACAGTAAATATAAATGTAACAAACAAATATAAATCATTGGAATAACAATAGCATCTTATATCATTAAAGAATATAAAGAGTTAAAAACTTTTTTACATAGTAATTTTAAAAGCATTCACTAATATGTGAATTTTAAATTTTGAGAAGTGGAATTTTACAGACTTTAGTGGATTTTTACAATATATGTCTCAATTAAAATATCTAAAAAATGTATATATATTAATGGAAAATAGTATATAAAAGAATCAAATACAACCTCGTAGTTTCCTGGTAACCATTATTTTTGTCTACGTTCTTATCCTCTTTGTTTCCTTTCTCATTTTCTTTTTCTTTTTCTTCTCAATGGTCGGGTACGAACTAACAATTTAACGAAACACTTCAACTTTGAAAAGAAGCGCTATTTAAAGGAAAGTCTGAAGGCGGAGCTCCATGGATATCTGCAAGAATAGAAGTGAGTTTTGTCTTTAGTAAAATTTCAAGAGGGGATAAGAAAGAGTCAGGTATAAAAATGTGCAGGTAGCCGAAAATTCTACCGTTTCCATTCTACCGTTCAAGCACTCGCCTAGTTAGTATCTGTGAAGGAAGACGGGAAGAGAAGTTATTCTGTGTTATAAGTATTGCAATATGTATGTATTCTAAATGTGTAAATTTTTAAAATATTAAACCGGATTTGTGTAAAAAAAAAACGAATTACAAGTGATTTAATCAAATTAATTAAAATGGCAATTTTGAGCCTGCGATACGATATTAATGTCAGATGATAAAAGTACAAAAATTTATTTCAATAAAAACTTGACATAAATCACATGTCAGAATATACTAATTCATGTTCTCGGTACCGCACTGCATTTCCTAAGCCATGAAGTCTACGTATATATTAATAGTGGGCAGTGGATGTAATTTCTTCTTTGCATCTTCTTTGCAATGTATCTTCTAACTCACCTGGGAGAATATGAGGAAATACCATGGAAACACCTTTGTAGTAACAATTTTTGGTGATGAGTGATGAGTGTGATATATTTGTGCGTTATAATAATCGAACGAAGACATTAAGCCAAAACATTTCAAATTGAAAGCGACGAACATGAAGTATGGTTTTTATACATATATTTATGACATGTAGCTTGGTATGATTCAAACAGAAATCTTACATGTTTTTGAGTATAATATATTGGAAATACAAACATTATCGATATACGAAATTCACATGTTTGCATTTGATAGACCTTTGAGAACGTTGAGAACGAAACAATAAGACTCTCAGAGGTCTATCAAATGTAAACATGTGAATTTCGTACATCGACAATGTTTGTACTTCCAACATCCTTGATAGCACATGTTCTCCTAAAGACGTCCTGAGGATGAAGAAACATCCCCAGGACGTCCTCAAAACGTACTCTGGACATCCTCTGGACATCTGTGCTATTAGGGATGTCATACTCATAAGTATATAAAATTTTTGTTTACATCATACTAAGCTATATGTCACGTATAAAAACTATGCTTTATGTACGAATCCATCTCTCTATTATTAATACACGTAAACTTCATGGCTTAAGGAGGTGCAGTGCGTTACCAAAGACATGAATTGGTATATTTTCAACAAGCTCAGAAGATACAACAGAGATGGCGATATGTTGATTCGTATAACATCGTACTTTTAATTACTGATAAGGACTAAATACAGAGCCGGAACGTTTGACATGTGTTTTATGTACTAGACAGGTTTTTATTGAAATAAATTTTTGTACTTTTATTATCTCATATTAATATCGTGTGCAGGCTCGAAATTGTCATTTTAATTATTTTAATTGTATTTGAAAGAGCCTTGAGATAACGTTTTTATTGAATGCTTGATTTAGTTCGTCAAATATAAACAAGAATAAGGAACTAATCATGGAAGATCATATACACACGGAGCGATCTATATTTGCGAATGTTGCTTCGGATCACAAAGTATACGTGCCTTTTATGCAACAATCACAGAACGTGAAGCCATGTGTCGAAGGGAGCAGTGTGCCTGTGCTAACGCCCGTCGGAAACACACAAACGGTACCATTGCAACTATATAATCATGATTTACGATTTAAAATCAGGGTTTGATAGATACTTATATTTTTCTATGTTTACTTAGGCTCAGCCACAAGATTACATCAATTATAATATAATGTCCAATGATGATGTTAGCGCATATCCCACCAACACGTCCCCGGCGAATTATAACAGCAACGTAGATGTTATCAACGCAACAGGGATGAGAAATATCAAATACATGAATAATTGCATGTCGAATTATGAACTCCAGTACCTACATGATCGGTATTCAGCCGCTGCTTGTAATCACTCGTCAAAGTGTTCTGGTAAACATTCGGAGAAGAAATACGCCAATTCTAGTTATTATCATATGGAGAATGTAAAATGCAAAGACGGAGAGGCGATCAGTCAAAGCTGCGATGGTCATAAATCGATGGAGATCGATGAACCTATGGTAAGGCCATGTTCGAGTAACAATTATGTGATGAATTTCAGTTTATCTTCGGAAAGTGAAGAAAAGCTTGTCAGTATCGATAATAGCGATTCTCAGAGCGAGATAGTTAGCTCAGAGACTTCATCTTGCTATAAGCAGTGTATGGATGATGACCCAGAAAATCAACGAAAGATGACGAACGCCAAGGAACGACAAAGAACACGAGACCTTAATAACGCATACGACGATCTGAAGAAGGCTATACCCTTCATGTCAAGTGAAAAAATGAGTAAAATACAAACATTGAAACTAGCTACGAAATATATATTATATCTGCAATTTAAGAACAGATGCGATTTTTGTCAAAAAATTAGTAAGTTTCTTCTTTTACATCCTTATATTTGTTTCCATATTTCTTTTTCTTTTTATTTGCTCGAATATTCGAATTCTTTTTTGGCCATATTTTATTTCTCAAAATTAAGCTAACAGCAACCGAGTTATCATTCTGAAAGCAATTTTTTTGCTTCTTTTTATTTAACTTAAATAAAATTGAAATAAAATTTAAATAAAAAGAAGCAATCAAGAGATTATAAGTGTGTGTCTCAAATATAAATACACGGGTACTTGAAATACTTAAAAGAAAATATTTCAGGATTACTGTGAATAATTGCAAATATAGTATCAATCGAATATGCAATTTTTCAAAAAGATAATGAATTGCTCTTTTGAGAACGTCCAATTCGTCTTAAATTTTGTCAATAGGCTTCTATTAGATAAGAAAGTAGCATTTTTTACAAGGGTCTTTTCCGACTCAAAAGTTAAGTAACTTTCATCGTCATTTTTTCATAATTTTTATTATTTAGATTATATATAATGTCATAGATCATTTTTTAATTAAATTTTTTAACGAGAAATAAATCACGTGGTCTGATGCCTAAAAATTAACAAATGGTAATCTATTTAATCTTGTGTGATGTAATCTTTTCGCCGTATTTACCGTATTTTGCTGTAAGGAAAATAAGGAACTTATATTGTGCGGATTAAACGCAAACTAATGAGAACAATTGTTATGTTCCAGTAAACGAAGATGTGAATCCAGCAAACAAGAGTGTGAACCACGATGCGAAACACGATGCGAACTCATTGCACGTGATGCATGAAGAGATATTACCAGTAGCTTTTAGGGAGTGGTGTAGAAAAAATCTGGTGCAGATAAATAACATGTAATGTTTATTTCTAAGACCCTAAATAACATTTAGGGTCTTAGAAGTTGGAAACCTTAGAAAAAAAAGTAAATGTTAATCTATTTATATTGTTTTAAAAATTGTTAAATAAAAAGAGGCAAAAGAAATAGATTTTTCATATGCTTATGTTACACACAACCAATTATATTAAAAAAAGAAATAATTTATACATAATACTATAGAATCATAAATAATTTTATGTCTATAATTTTCGTATTTCAACAAAAAAGCGTCGAAAAAGCGATTATATTAATACTTCACGACCCGCTGATGACGGCTCTATTATTTTTAATTGTCAGTATTTTATCGATGATTTAATAATGGAAATTCAGAAAAATTTATATCACGTTTCTTAATGTTCTAGCACAATTTATAATTTACAGATATTAGGATTAAAGTTAGATATAACATTTTTATTAATAGTCACCTCTGCAGAAACTGGCTGTGCAATGAGACATTATCTGAATCGGCATCACATAGTCAATTGGCGTTTGATTCTGAAATATCTTCCCTCGATTTGAATACTTCTACGGGCAACTAATAGTTTTCAAAAATGTGTCAGTGCACCGTATCAAAGAGCAGCGCGCTGAAAATAATGTTACACGCGTTTCGCTTAGTGCGGGCAGCTCGTTCTCATGAGATTAAAAAGCGCGCATCGTGTATTTTTCGGGCGGTACCATCCCGGCCAAAGGAAAATATACGAGCCGCACCGTGGGCGATATTGAGTTTCCCTTATATACATAACTAAACGAGAGCGATGGGGACGTCCCTTCAAAAGAGTCTTTTCGAAAGCTCTAGCTCGACGTCATCCTCATAAAAATGACACGACAGTCATTTGTGTAGCTACCACGAAGGATGAAAGGGCTCCGACCAGTACCCCTGAACGAAAAAATAACTGTAATCGAAAATTACTAAAACGTGGCAGTTGGTGAGACATAAATTCGTTGAAAAGCCTTGGAACTTGTTAACGAATGTTACTCATCGCCTATTGCAGTGATAAGTCTTTAAAATACTAGCCATTTTTTAAATTGACGCGTTTGGGAGAGTTTACGAATGCAGAATAATTTCTCTTTGTAATATTTTACATACTTTTAGAAATATAAGCATTAAATATTGTGATAATTGTTAAATGTGCAAATATGTAGTGAGAGATTTTCTCTTTATATATCTGTATGTCTTAATCGACGCGAATAGATATTTCGAGGAAACGCTTGCAAATAACTGGAAAGTTAAAAGAGAAAAAGTTGACTCGTGTTACACATTCTGCATCATACGATGAAATTCCTTTAAAAAATATTAGCTTCCTAGGAATTAGCATTTTAATTCTAAAAATTAACATTAATTTATATTAATATTGATAATAATTATGATAATATAATTATATGTACATTATATATTATGTAATATAAATTTATATTAATGTTAACTAATATATTATTCTGGAAATTAATAAATAAAATTATTAAAATATTCTGTTGAAGATAATTTACTGCTATCTCCGTGAACTTGCCGTTTCATCAATTTTTTTTTTTATGCTGTGGCGAAAATAATACGGTAGATTGATCGGTATGTTATCTCCACGTGTCGACATCTCAGTCCTTTTGACGACTCTTCGACGATTACGAATCGATCATCTCTTACGAGAAGAAGAAAAAAAGGAGAAGCTTGCCCTTCCTCGAAATCAGTCTCTATACTGAAGCCAGACGACTGTTGTTTCGCGTTACATTACATCGTTGTTTTTGCAGCATCTCCTGTGCGATGGGATCGGCCGTTTCGAGGTTTCGGTGTCGTTTGTCTTTTATTCTACGCAGTCTCGAGAACCCGCGTGAAAAAAGGAAAGTACGATTAGATAAATTAGAATTGAAATTCATGACGCTCCGTGACAATTAAGATGATGTATTCCGTACATTTCTTACGAGGAATTTCACCGAAAAAAAAAGAGGGAAAATATAACCATCTAATTAAAACTGATCAGAGTGAAATGTTTAGCAGAGGAATAGAGCGGAAAATACAAGCGATCGCTCGATATATTCTACTGAGATACGCGATGACACATCTAACGGCAGCTTCCCACGAAGCGAAGATTGCTTAATTTTTTATAAACATTTTTTTACGACGATCTGATGACGCGCAACGGACTTCCTTGATGAATACTATCTACTAAGATGCATCCCATAAATGTACCCGACTCGGCTACTACGCCTTTTTTCTTTCTTCCTCTCGAGTCCTCGACTTAATTACTTCCCTTCCTCTCGACCGTCTCCCCTTGTCCACCTTTTTCATTCTTATAAAAGCCATCGTCCATTAATAACTTATGTGGCTACTAACGTACACGGCGGTAAAGAAGAAGACACTAGTACTTTTTGACATTATTATTACATCAAAAGAAGCTCACGCTTCATATACACATGATATATACGCATGATTAAGCTCTTCAGTGATATATTTATCAAAATCAGAAGAAACTAATTTAATTATTTATTTAATTTAACTATTTCAATTATTTAGTATGATTGTACGTAATCTTTCTTGATCGGTACATCTAAACATACACATGTGTCAATATCCTTAAAAAATTTAATAATAAGTTCTTAAGAAAATGTATTTTTAAATCTATCGTAGATTGATAATCCTTTCATCAGAGACGAATTTCGCGAAGAGAACTCTCGTTTAGTTCATCTGTTCTATAAAGGAAATACATGCGTAAAATTTTCGATCACGGTGGACCGCAGCGAGGTCGACGTCGGTGTTTTAAAGTGTCTCCTTTGTTGCTCGTTGTATCCTGCGCGATACTGTGCGGAAAGACATTAGGGTTGTGTACAAGTCGAGAGAAGACGTCGGCATGTCGGCTTGACAGCTGGCAGCGACGTAGATCCGGTTCACACGACGTTCCGAATCAACCCCCCTCTCTCTTGGCAGTGCGCGTGGTGGAACTTTGTCAACTCCGTGAGGAAGCGCGTTCTGCTTTATATCTTGTCTTCTTGCGCTTTTTCTACCTTCTACAATATACATGCGAGCAAGCAAATTCACGAAGTTTCCACATCGAGGAAAATTGAAAATTCACATCTCACATGCATCAAGAACGCTAATATATTTCATTTAATTGTGACATCGCCGTGTTCCATATTGGCAGCAGCCGGCAGTAAAGTCGGCATTAGATCTAGTAAATAGTAAAACACTGCCCCATTCATTCCTTCCTACAGACCAATATTCGCGGAAGCACGTCTCATCACTTCTGCGTCCTTCCTTTTTTTTTTCGTCGTATTTCGTCAGCGATCGTCACACATAGTGGTCCGAAAATAAAATCTTTTACCCGAACGTTCGGATAATGAAATATATAGCATGTGCGTGTGCAGTATATATTTGAAATAAATGCAGATTGCCGTCCTTTATTACTACTGTACTGTTTGATTTTAATCAGAAAGTCTCACGGTCACTTACTTCAGGTTGCTCCCGCCGAAACTCTGAGGCCTGATATTTTAATTTTTCTATTTCACTGTTTGTTTCTATTTACTATTTTACTGTCATTATATTGGTTTGACCATTTCCTATTATCATTTACTGTACTTTTTTAGTTTACTGTTTTATCTTCGTGCGTTTTGAGTCGACCGATTGTTGCTTCACGCATAAAACTTTAGCGCCATTACAACAATATCGCCGTTACCACCCTCCGAGTCGCCCATAACTTCTCGCGAGCAGATCGGCGCAGAAGTCGACGGGAACCGCAGCAGCAGACGATGACGACGTATGACGCGACGACGGTTCTCTCTCCAACAACGCGACGCGGCGCGACGCGCCGTACCGCCGTGGATTTCATTTACCCTTCCGCTTGCTGCTCGTCGTGTTCCTTTTCGCCGGCCGTCGCTCTCGTCGTCCACGTACAACCTGACAGCTATAAAAGACGAGCCGCTCGACCGACATCTGGCCTGACGTCGCGCACTTTGTAGTCCACCTATGCGTAAAGGGATCCTCGCGTCGTCTCCAGCCTTTGCTGGGGTGGTACGGATTGACAAGGCGAACGCCGTCGACGCCCTTCCAGGAGGCCACGGAGGCATATACAGAGTGTCTCCGGTCGTTACGCCGTGCGCTTTCTTTCTGATCCTTGCCTGCACGACCAGTTTCGACCTTTCTCCAACAGGAACGTCGACCTAGTAAACATTAATCAAATTAGAATGGAGAAAGCAGTAATTTTTTTGGCCGAATTCTCTCTCTTTCTCTTTCTCCCTCTCTTTCTCTTTCTCTGCTGCCGAATTTTCCTAATTTGTCTATTGTTTGTTTTGGGGAACTAAAGGACCGTAAAAATGAATGACCGCGCGACCGACACACCTTTAAAGTTTCTGAAAGTTTCTGATAAAATAGAATCGGACGTAACACACGAGGAAGTCTTGGTTCGAATAACCGAGTTATTAGATTAGATCCGAACGAGAATTCGGCGACGAGAAGCGATATTTTTCTGTCGACGTAATCACGCAGACTCAGTAATTAATAATTGGATAGAAACTTCCTACAGGAAATTTTTGTTTTCATTGCTAAAAGTTCTCGTCTCTGGTTTCCGGATAATAGAAAATCACTTGCGCAAGTAGAGTTCCTTTTTTTTTTTCTTTTCATGCGGAAGAAACGAAAGAACGATTGCTCTATGGTCTCTCCCTAGAAATTTATAATTCGAACCGCCTGTCGGCAGCTAATTTCCTGTTTCGGTGGGCGTGTATGCCTACAACCTAATGCTTTCTCGCGGTCAACCTGAGAGGTCGGAATTCACGGCGGTGAGGATTCCGGAGGGAGTGGAAAAGCCGCGCGGACCCGAGATCTCCCCTACTTTCTTCGCACTTTTTTTGAAAATGGCAGCCGCGGCACTTCGTCGGCCGCCGCGAAGCAGCTGCTAGCTCCTCGGAGACGAATGCTACGAAGAAATGATAATGAAATGACGAACGTCGCAGCCATTGAGAAGAGGGGCACTTGGCGGCTCCTTTATTCGTTATTTCCGAGGCCATGCGCGTGTGCAGCTTTCGTTTTATTCTTCGTTTTATGCAATTGATTGAGTACAGCAGGATTTTCGATTAATAAAACATTATTGGGCGACAAGTAGGCATGCC